GACACATCCTACCGCCACGGTCTATAACGGTATAACGTGAAATGCACACCACCAGCGTCCTTGGCGGCAGGCTCTGCACTTGTGCTCTGCCGTAATTTTCTGCACTTTGTGCTCTGCCTACGCACGTGCTCTGCCTCTGGTCAGTGGACAACTCACCTCAACATTCATGCGGTCAGCGGCAGGAGCAGCGAACACACATTGACTCCATGCCCAACTTGCAAAAGCATCTGCGCAACGGTGCCGTTGTTCGTTTATCAGCTTGGCTGCTTTGTTTTTGAGCTGGGAAGCAGTAAACTAGTACTACTTTCTCTGTCTTGGTATATATAAGTCATTTAAGTAGTTTTAAGCCATCGATTTTTGAGAAATTAAATATGTGTTATATGTCATAAAAACTGTATCACTAGATTTCTACACGGAAGCAGTGAACTAGTACTACTTCTTCTGTCTTGGTATATATTTAAATAGTTAAATTATCGACCTAAAACTACGCAAATGACTTATACATCGAGACAGAGTATTAGTAATAATATTTTGAACGCCTATTTGGCTTCAAGTTGGTCTGATTTGACATTTTTAATTCATACGTGTAGCTTCGATAGATCAATGATCTCTGCAAGCATGCCCTAATTGTTTCTGCCACTGACTGACTCCTTAGTTTTTTTATGCATGAAAGAGCTTACCGCCAAGTAAAATGACGGTAGCGTTACACAGCCTGCTGTCAAAGACTCTAACAGTAGGGTATTTTTCACGTCAAACGACTGTGATAGCGCAGTTAAGTCCTACCACCACCGACCTTGACGGTAAATTATGTAAACCTATCGCCAATGGCTACGGCAATAGGAAAAAATGATCAGATCCCGATTTTTTTAAAAAACTAGGATTAGGTCTCGCTCAACTTTCGCAAAAGGGTCAAAACAGCAAATTTGGCCTCCTCCGCACCCTCACTTGGAGCGCCGTGTGCGCTTCCTCGCCTGTAGCAGCCGATGAGTCTTTCATTTCAGCGGTGGATCCGCTCCGCCCGACGTCAAGCACAAACCAGGTAAGCAGGCTCTTTCACTCTCCCGTGCATCTATGCCCGCCGCCGCCACGCTGTCTGCAACCTGTAGGACTCTGCCGTCAAGTCTGTTGCTTCAAGCACTGCTCTCCATCGCCGCATGTAAGTATATCGTTGTCTTAGAGCATCTCTAGCAGACCCCGCATCCCGCCCCGACCGGTAAAATAACCGCCAAAATGCAGGTCAGGGCGGGAAAACCTGCCTGACCAGACACCGCATTCGCGGCCGACCCGTATTTTTTTTGCGGGGCGCGGCAAAAGATCTCCCCCGACCTCTAGATTCACGGGCTGGGAGGACGAACCGAGCTCAGCCCCTATCCGCAGCGAGATTTGGCAGGAGGGACATTTCTGCACGGCCGTTCCCGCTCCCCCACCCTCCGCCACCATTGCCCCGCCACCTCACGCTCCGTTGCATCTTCCCCGGCTGTCCTTCGCCGCCATGGATGACTCCCTGCTGTCCCTCGTCACCGTCGAGATCCCGCACGGTCAATCCCCTCGGGCGGATCTCGTCGCCGGCCATGTTGGCCCCGTTGTCGCCCAAGGTACCGCAGCGCCTGCCCGCAAGCATCAGGGCAACATGGTCGTGCAGGGCCAAAGTCCGTCTGCCCCGCCGCGAAGGCCCGCGCTCCAGGCGCCAACACCGCTGCGCGATCCCGGCCGACGATGGAGAAGGTCGCCAAGGCCACCGGCGTAAAGAGGAAGAGGATTCCGGCTACAAAGAAGCCGCCTCCTTCGTCCACTCCCTCCGCCCCGGAAATAGGTTCCCCGACGATGCCGCTCAAAGGTGCTGCTCCCACCGCAAGCGAGGTGTTTTGACGAAATGGCCGGAAGGTATGCGTCTTCGGTCATGGCAATTTTCTTTGCTTTTCGCCATTTGCTATAGCTCGTGACTTGTTGTCGTTCACTATAGCGGTGGTTCGAACAATGCAACTGACGAGTTCCTGAACTT